TTCTCTTCTGCTTCAGCTTTACCTCAGCCGCAGCTGTTAGGGGGACAGAGTGTTAGAGCTGCAAACCCGGTTGGCTTCTCTGGAACATGGCCTCTTCCTGGTCCCCGTCCACCCATGGCATCCCCAGACGCCATGCAGCCTGGCTGTCCCTCACTGCCTCAGACTCCTAGACTGCTCCCTCTGGCTCCTATGGGACCACCAGGTCCCAACCCTCTGAGCTCCCCGCCCTCAGGCTCTCCTGTCACTTTTCCTGTGGCTGGTCCTCCTGGAGGGCCAGGGGCTCCATACTCCAGGACCCTCCCAAGCACTGGCCTCTGGACTCCTCATCCAGGTCAGTCTTCTTTCCATGGCTTCTTCTTGGGGGTCATTGCCTCACTCCCCCATTCCCACCACTACTTTGGGAGTCTTTTTCTGCCAAGACCCTTTGTCAGCTAGGAGTATGACTGATCTACAGAGGGAAGTATGGCCAACTCTAACTAAAATAATTTTTCCAGCTTTTAAACATTTCCAAGGTCCTTGACCATGTCCTTAGAATCCCCATTTTTATGTTCTTTAGGACCCCAGGATGCCTGGCAAGCTGCTCCAGCCACTTGGGAAAAGCTCCCGAGGAGAAAGGTCATGCACCTTTCCCTGCCCGGTGATCCACTCTTCAGTTCTTTAAGAATTCAGCCCCGCCTTCTCTGAGTTAGTCTCTACCTGTCAGCAGCTTCCTCTCTTCCTTCTGCACACACACATCTTTCTGTTGCCCAGTCCCTACTCACCACCCTGTCTCTTGGTCAAAGTCACAGCCTGTAATGTCTCACTGTTCACTCATATGCTTTTCTTTATCTCCTCAGCTGCCAGAGCCATTTATACCCCCAGCACCGATTACAGCTCCGGTTATGAGCCTTGGCCCTGAGCCAGGACAGACCCTGCTGCCACAGCCCCGAGTCTCCAGTGTGAGCTGGTCTCCTCCCGGAGCCCCAAGAGAAGGCAGCCCGCAGGTGACCAGAACAGTGAGTCAGTCCCCTGGGAGGCTTTCCAGCCCTGTGTGGGCAAGAAAAGTGAGATCATAGAAACTGGATTCCTTGCTCAAGGTAGAAGTAATCCTTGAGCCTGAGCTGAGGATGTCCTTCCTGCAGAGGAGGGGAGGGTGGCTCTCAGCTCGGCCTTGATGGGAAGCGTGACCTCGAGTCACAGGTGACTGAGCCTTAGGGAGGCCGTGCGGACGGACGGACGGACAGCCTTCAGTTCTTCCTCACTGCTCCTCATTAACAGCTGCAGCCGCTGCCTCCTGAGAAGACGGGAAAGAAGGAGCTGCCCCCAGAGCATCAGTGCTTGAAGGACAGCTTCGAGGCACTTCTCCAGGCCTGTTCTCTGTCTGCCACTGACCTAGTAGGTCTGACCCTTCCCCCAGTGCCCCCTCACATCCTCAGTGGATGTGCCTCGGATGGAGACCGGCTCCCTTACTGTCCCGGACATATTGACTGTGTCTGTACTTCCTTGATGTCCAAATGAAGTGGGGAGGGCCTGGAGTCTAGGTCCCACTTCTCAATAGCAGGACCAAAGAGCATGGGGATTCGCAGCGGCAAGGCCTTTAGCAAAGGGGGCTAAAGCCGTGTCGCCTGGGCAAGTCTCTTGCCGTCTTTGGGCCTCCACTTTGTGAAATGAAGGAAATGGCACTGAGCTGTTCTAGCTGGTATATCTCAGGAATGTTTGTAGTGCTGTATAGTGTGAGCCTTAGGGGTGGGGTCAGAATCCATTTTCCTCCCTGCAGAAAACCAAAAGGAAGCTGGAGGAGGCGGCCCACCGTCTAGAATGTCTATATGAAAAACTTTGTGAGGGGACGGTGAGTACCTGACTGACCGCCTCTGCCTGGTCCCTCTCCACTGCCAGCCACAGTCAGAGAGGCCCAGTGTCCCTTCCTCCCAGAGTCTCAGAGCCATCTCCCTGTCCTCTTAGCCTTTCCCTGCTGTCAGAGTCGGGGCTGGGCTGGGCTCACCTAATCTAAGGGTCATTCTCTCCACAGCTCTCACCCCCCGTCCTGGCTGGGCTCCACGAAGTTGCCCGATGTGTGGATGCAGGCAGCTTTGAGCAGGGCCTTGCGGTGCATGCCCAGGTGGCGGGCTGCAGCAGCTTCAGCGAGGTATCCAGCTTCATGCCTGTCCTGAAGGCTGTCCTCACCATCGCACACAAGCTGCAGGGCTAAGCCAGGCAGCCTCTTCCACCAGGAGGCCGTTTCTGCTGTTGCTTACCTCCGGGTGCAAAGGGGGAGTTTTTCAATCGATTGTGTTTATTTCTCCCAGTATTTTCCCCTTGCTGCCTGCCAGCTAGGCGATGCTGGGGGCTTGGATCCACACCAGCTGAGTGCCTGTTTCCTCCCCCTTTATGCCTGCCCACCTGGGCTTTCCTAGGGTGCTTTCAGCCTGGGAGGTAGAGCACAGAGTCAGGTCTTCCTTTCCCTAATCTAGCAGTCCAACAGGGTCAGCACCAGAATGTCTCACACAGGGCTATTCTGTTCAGATGGTTCAGAGAGGGTAAACAGTCTGTCATTGGTTCAGTCTGCCGCTGCCATGACTCATCTTGTGGGTCTTGTTCTTTCTCTTCTGGAGTTGGAGTCCAACTGTCCTGTCCCCTGCCTCAGTCTTCATATTTGAAGGTCAATATTTATTGTAGGCCCAGGGAGTTGGTTGATGGTCACTTTTTCAACAAGTCATGGACATGAGGACTGGGTGTGGGTGCTGAGCAAAATGAAGAGAGGAAACTGGTCCTTTAAAAAAATGAAACTTCTCATGTGTTAGCATTACTCAGGGTGGGCTGTATCTCGTGTGTTAGCATTACTCAGGGCGGGCTGTATCTCATGTATTAGCATTACTCAGGGCAGGCTGTATCTCATGTATTAGCATTACTCAGGGCGGGCTGTATCTCATGTATTAGCATTACTCAGGGCGGGTTGTATCTCATGTATTAGCATTACTCAGGGCGGGCTGTATCTAGTGTGTTAGCATTACTCAGGGCGGGCTGTATCTCGTGTGTTAGCATTACTCAGGGTGGGCTGTATCTCGTGTGTTAGCATTACTCAGGGCGGGCTGTATCTCGTGTGTTAGCATTACTCAGGGCGGGCTGTATCTCGTGTGTTAGCATTACTCAGGGCGGGCTGTATCTCGTGTGTTAGCATTACTCAGGGCGGGCTGTATTAGGTGGCCAGTGGAAGAGTGAAGTGCCTTTTGTTTAGACTATGAGGTAGAAGCCTGTAGAGCAGTAGTTCTCAATCTGTGGGTCATGACCCCTTTGGGGGTCAAACGACCCTTTCACAAGGTTCGCCTAAGACATGGGAAAACACAGATATTTATATTACAATCCATAACAGTAGCAAAATTACAGTTATAAAGTAGCAATAACATAATTTTGTGGTTGGGGGTCACATTGAGGAACTGTATTAAAGGGTCACAGCATTAGGAAGGTTGAGAAAACTGCTGTAGAGAATGACCTTTGACACTGCCCAGGCTTGAGCCTGGCCCTAGGCCTTACACTATCCAGTCTGCGATTTTTAAGCCCGATTCTGGAATCAGAGCCCGGCTTCTCGTGGATCCAGGGCTCTTCTTCCCCTCAGCTGCCTTATGTCTCTGAACTGCTTTCTCTGGCCCTATTTCATGCTGACCTCTTAAACAGTGCAATAAAGTGACTTGCTTTCCAAAGTCGTTTCCCAATCCTCGTCTCCTCAGGATCCTCCTTTGCTGACGTTTCCCTTTCAAGAACAGAGAGGTCTTGCTTCCTCTACTATATAGGAAGGCAGGAGAGAGGCTGGGGAGAGATAAGAAGAACTTATAAAAATATGTGTATGAGTGGTTAGCCTGAATGTATGATTGTGTACTATGTTTAGTACTTAGTGCCTACAAAGGCCAGAAGAGGCACCTAGTGGGTGCTAGGAATTGAATCCATGTCCTTTGGAAGAGCAGCCATCTCTCCAGCCCAAGAAAACGATTTTTTAAAGTGTAGACCCATGGACTCGGGCAGCAGGCCTTTCCTTGCAGCGTATGTAGCTACACTGCTTGTGTGTGTGTATGTGTGTGTGTGTCAGTCTGTCTGTCTGTCTCCATCTGTGCCTGACAGTTAGCTGCAGGGTTTCCCCCACACCACTTCAGGGCTGAGCTCAGCTGCACAAAGGGCCTGGGTGTGAAGCCAGGGGGAACCAGCCCTAACCCTGCTGTCCACCCCATCATGTCTGCAGGCTAGATGTGTGTGTTTGGGAGGGAGGGATTGTTAGGCAGTATTTGTTTGTAAAGCCACTTGCTCTTCAGATAATACTTGTGCTAACTTCTATTGATGAAGCAGTGTGAGCCCCAGCAAAGTCCTTTCCCAAAGTGTCTTTGAAGCCAAGAGCCCATTGAAGGGAAGAAAGGCCGGGAGAGGGGATTAGTTTGTTCAGCAGCTGTGAATTTCAGTGGGAGGTTGATGAACTCTGAAGTCTTTGTTTAAATTAAAGGGGGGGGGGGCTGCTGCTGGAGCGAGAGCCCCACTTGGGGCCCTGAACTAACACAAGGAGAAGTCTGAGCCGCAGGGAGCTGTGTACTGACTGCGGAGACTTTTCCCAAACACTTTCGGAAAAGGTGTTGTGAGGAGAGAAAGGGGCGGAGTGGCGGATTAACATGTGAAATGAAGTTTTCATTGACTCCGGCGGGGTAGAAGGCTGTTTTAATGGCATTTTGTTCCCCTATTTTCTCTTCTTGAGCTCTTTAGAGATATTGTTTTGCTAAGACAGGCTTTCTTCCCTTTTCTTTCCAGTCTGCAGATTGCCTCTATGGGAGCCAACATAAATATTTCTCCTCCAGGAATGTGGGTTAATTAAAAGGAAACGAATGACTGGAAGCATCCAATCCAGACCGACAATAGGCGAGTGCCCCGGCCTGCCCTCCCCTCCCACCACCACCCGCGCTACCAGCGTGCCAAGGACGACCCTTTCTCTCTTTGCACTGACCTGCTCCTAAGGCCAAGTGAGGCTGGGATTCTTTTAAAGAAAAGAAAGCCCTGCTTGTGTGTAGGTTCACAGGCCAGAGACAGGAAGGAGACAGTGTTTTGCTCACCCCACCCAGTTCTCGTCACTTCTCAGGACCTCCCTCTACTTCTGTGCTCGGACTGAGACAGATGGGCTCCTTGAGAGCACACAAGAGGAGGGCAGGGGCCTGGGTGGCTGTGCCACCCCACACTAACTTACAAGCCTGTCGGCTTTCTCAACATCACTTTAAACGTGTAGAGCAAAGGTTTGACTAGCTGACCTCAGAGGGGCCTAGTCTTCCCAGTCAGCAGTTCTAGAGTTTTCTGCACAGCCGAGGTGATTTGGTGTGTAAGCCCAGAAGCCTCGGACTGAGGGATGCTGACGTGTCGTTGGCTGTCTCCACTTCAGTGTTCACTGAATGAACACTCCATGAAGGCATAATGCTAGGGGGGCGGGCAGGACTTCCTTCATAGAGCTGGAATGAACTGGGTGTCAGTCCTGCCCACTTGGGGATACAGAGCAACCTGTGAAAGAAATGACAGCCTCATGTGTCTAGAGTCTGACTTTAAAGTTCTGAATGTTGAAGCGCAGAGCTTCCGTTTATGCTGAGAGCCCTGGAAAATGCAGCTTTATTTTCCAGCATGGAACCTTCATGCTTTTCAGCTGTATTGCCACGATTCCTTCTGTGCACTATCAAGTAACTGTCAGGTGAGGCAGTGGGGTTAACACGCTGCTGCTTGATGAGGGGAAAGAAAGGATGACTTGGGAGACTGAGAAAGCACAGATAACTGAGGGAGGGAAAAAAGAGCCTTTTACTAATAGAGTTAGAAGTGAAGTACCAAGAGAAGTGTATCCCCTCCTAAAGAAGAGAAAAAAACACCCCCAGTTAAGTGTGGAGAGGACCAGAGGCAGTCTAGTCTTCCAGGGCGGCCCCTGGGGCTTTGGTGGTGTGAGCTCTGTGCTTCCTTTAGGAAAAGGGGGATGAAGTGAAGAATTTCGCTGGCTCGGCTCCAGAAATGCTGTGGATGCCCATGCCCAGGACTTGCCTAGGGCAGGAGCAGCTGTGGGGAAGGTCTGGGCTGAACTGGCTCCTCTGTTGCCAGATCCCTATTTCATAAACAAGTCCCTGCTGGACTGCCCTTCTCCGAGAAAGGAACCTCAGACTCAGAAGCAGCAAGCTCTTGGCTTCCAAGTAAATGCATTAGTGGAAGATTTATGTGGGTGATTTACTAATCCCTGGCAGATTAACCTCAGCCAAATCAAGCTAACTACTTAGGCCATCGGGAAGGCTACAGGGAGATGGTATCCTGCCAAAGTGGGAGGAAGGAGAGAGCGTAGGGGTTAAGTTTCTCCTCTGCCTTCCCCTCATCATCCCAATGAGTTCAGGATCTGGGGGGAGGGGTGTGTACCAGAGACTGAAATAAATTAAAAGGTCAGGGTTTTGAACATCCTATTAGCAACAGTCTCATAGCAGGGGGATTACTTCTCCAGGGAAGTAGCCAGTGGTCTGAATCCTGAGAACCAGGTGTTGGGGCCGGACTTCTTCCTATGGATGCCCTGCCTTTAGAGGTACAGATCCAATCTGTCTTGATTTACCCGTCTTGGCTCAAACGATCAAAGCTCCTTTGGAGAAGGAGACAAGGTACAGATGGCTGCTATGATCAGGAAATGATTGCCAACCTACCCACTGCCGACCTCTACCACTCCTAGGCCTCTTGGTGTGTCTAGAGTATCTTTGGTGTTTAGGAAGGTCACTGCTCAGCTAATGAAGTCCGTCAGTGACATGGTGTCACGGTGTGCAAGTTGGGTTTTGGGGTTCCCTCTCCCCCCATATTCAAAGTCTTTCTTGTTGCCAGTTTTTTTTTGTTTTGGTTTTGTTTTTTGTTTTTCAGGACAAGTAGGGAAATGAGAAGACAAAGTGTTAGATTCTTGAGGAGCCAACATCCAGGGAACTAGGTCTAGACTGTAGGCCCCAGAGGCTCTGGCTCCCAGGAGGGAGGTGCAGTTGTGGTGAGCAAGAGAAGGGCCATGTCTTTACCTGCACTCTGCGTGTCTGAGAGGGTTCTTTCCTCGGCCTGATAAGCTAGGCCCAGCATTAAGACAGCTGGGGTCCGGGGTAGGGTAGGGTGAGGTGAGGAGACTCGCCTGTTTTCGTCCTTTTCTCAGGAACAACTGTGCAGAATAGTTTTGAGACCTAAGAATGAGCTGCGAAGACCATGCAGAGGAATCCGGGAAACAAGTTTGGAAAGTGGCACTCGGTGGAGTGACTGCGGCCTCTCCCTGTCAAGATCGCTGAGCTAGGGAGTGCGAGGTCCCCAGTCTGGGTCCCTCTATTTCCGGGGGTATCTAAACGAAGCCGAGGACGAACAGGAAAGGCGGCGGGAGGAGACCCTTAGGGTTTCTTCCCAGGTTTGTGCGCAGCGCCTCTCGGCGGCCGCTCGGCGCGGCTGCAGAAGTACTTGGTGACCCGCCGGCGGCACTGCTCGCAGCGGACCGCGCAGCACCAGTGAAACTTGCAGTTGCAGCTGGACACTGTCTCGGTGCGGCGCTCCTCCACTGCCAGCCCGCAGTCCCCGCACAGCCGGCGGCAGCTGCGGCGCTCCCAGCGGCCCAGGGCTCGGCCGCGCCGCAGGCACTCTCGGCCCTCGGTGCCTAGCAGCCCCAGGGTCTTGTTCTCCAGGCAGTAGTCTGGGGAGTCCTCCAGGTGCACCAGCTCGCGCGTGGAGATGGAGCGGAAGGTGTCGGCGATGGCGCCGCGGCCCGCCGCGCTGTTGCCCGCGCCCTGCAGCAGGTCCACCTTGAGCGCCACGTGATACTTCTCTTTCAGGTGCGCGCCCACCTCCCGGAACTCGGGCAGCTGCAACCAGCAAGTCTGGGTCGTGCAGCTGCCAGACACGCCGTGGCACTTGCACGTGCGTTTCATGGTGCCCTTGACCGCCTGGGGAGAAAGCTGCGCGTAAGCAGTCACGGCTGGGAGGAATTGCAGGGCGCCTAGCTAGGGAGTGGCCAGCCGGCTGGGTAGAGTCAGTTAAAGAACCGAGATGTTGGAGCTGGTAGTGGATGGAGCCAGCTATCTAGTAAAGGGCTGCGGGACTCACCTTGCGGCCAGCCTCATTGTTGTGCAGATTCATGGCTGCTCTGGCATCCTGTCCTGTCTCCAGGGCATCCACGAACTGCTTGGAAATTGCCTCTCCGAAGCCCACATTGTCGCTGCAGCCTCCCCAGAGCCAGCCTTGGCCTCCTGAAAAGGCAGGAGCAGGAAAAACCATTGAGTCCAAAACTTCCTGGGCTCATGTTTCTGATTGGGTGGATGGGTAGGTGGGTGGAGGAGAGTCTGGAATGGGAAAGGGTTAACGTTGGGCGAGTGCCCTGTTTCTGGATTGGTTTCCATCTTGATTTGTTTTTACCACCTTTTCTGCCCTCTTTCAGCCTGAGCCAATCCCCTGCTCAGGCCTTCATGACATAACTAGTTGTACCTGCATGCTCCTCTGCGGGAGGGTGCACGTGTCTGGTGGACAGGCGGTTGAAGTCTGGGAAGGAACAAGAGTTCAACCTTTGAGAGAGGAAGAGAGCCTAAGAGAGGTGATAGGGAGTAATGAAGTCAGGAACTGAGTGAGCGGGTACAGAGGATGGGGAAGGCCGTGGGAAATCGCGGGACGAGGGATGAACACAGGACAGGGCGACAGGAAAGAAAGTCCCCCTGGGAGGGATGAATGATTGAGTCTACACACTATTCCGTTATTATTGTGTTTAAGTTAAGAAAATTTGGGGAGGAGAACAGGACCTTACACTCTGTTTAGGCAGGGCTGTCGCTGTAGTGTGTGTGGGCTGGAGCTGGCTCGCCCTACTTAAGCGTTATTTCCCATGTGTTTAGAACAATACAGGTTTATTCCTCCAAGTCCCCACCATACTTTTTGTTGTGTAAGTGAACTTCCCCCGCCTGCCTGCGCTCCTCATTCCCACATTTCTACTCACCCAGTTGTCCATTTCGGGAGTCATCACACCCACAGTTGTCAAAATCTCCAAGGCTGCAGTTTCTAGTCAGGGTATACATAACTCCAGCAGAGCTGATGGCGTGTACAAACGCGGTCTCCCGGTTAGCTAGGGGATCGAGCCAAAGTCCCTCAAGGGTTAGAAGAAGAGGCTGCAGCCCAAAGAAATGCTAATGTGCTGCTTCCCCTTAATGCCTTCATCACACACACCCTCCCCAGTGCTAGCCTGTTTCTCGGAATCGGGTAGCTTACCCGCTTTCAGGACCCATCCCCTCCCTGCTCTCAGCCCTAGCCTCCTTCCCTTTTCAAGTCACACATTTTGTGAGTGGTTGGCTAGACTGCTGATGACATGATTATAGAGGATTTAGGTGGGAAAGAACCTGAGAAAAAAAGTGGACATGAATCTGAAAGCAAAGAACCCACCCCATTTCCTCCCGGAAAGTCTAGAAAGCACGCAGTCTTTCTTAAAAAGCTCCTCGGATGCGAGCCTTCTCACTGTTGTTTATCTTCTCTATGGTAACTTGGTCTCCAAGTTTCTCCTGGGTCAGCACCTCTCTCTAAGCCTGCTGAAAGGAGAGCCTAAGCAGTGTGAGGATTTATTACCCTAACCTGTATCTTGGTACTGCTTAGATTGTGATGAAGCCTTAGGCCAACCAAGGACAGTATACAGCCAAGGGCAGTATAGGACTGGTGATGAGGCAAAGTGTATTAAACAGTGAGGGAGAAAGAGAGAGAGAGAGAAGAAAGAAAGAAAGAAAGGAAGAAAGAAAGAAAGAAAGAAAGAAAGAAAGAAAGAAAGAAAGAAAGAAAAAGAAAGAAGGAAAGAGGAAGGAAGGAAGAAAGAAGTGGGGAGAAGGAGGAAGCAAAAGTGGCAGAGAAGGTAAAGAGAAGATCTCAGGAGAGAGAGAGAGAGAGATGTCCTGAGCAAAGAGACTGGGTGAAAATTAAGGACCTGGGGGAGGAGGGGAAAGCTGCGACCAGCAGTTCCCGGAGCGGAGGCCAAGGCTTTCCTTACCACTACGAAGTCCACCATGGCTGGACAGCTGCAAAGCTCTCTCAGGGCAGTTCCAGCGGTCCCAAGCAAACTGGTATTTACACTCTTCAATACCACTCTGGGCACCAGCTGCCACGCTGCTGGAGTAGACGAGGTAAGCCTACAGGAATACGGGCTCAAAATTTAGCCTCAACTTAGGAGACATTTGCCCCAAGCAACTCTCTGCTCTCCCAGCTTTCTAAAATACGGAGTGAGAAAGCAGTCTAAATATGCTATCTCATTTAACAGTGCTAGTATCCTTGTGGATAGGGACCATTGTGCAGGTCAAGAAACCAAGACTCAGAGCCTCACAGTTAGCAGATGGCAAAAGGAGGAGAGAACTTGGTTTCCACCAAACCCTAGTCCCCACCAGACTTTACTCATTATACTATACCATCTCTCCGAACTGAGTCCCAATCACACAATTCTTGAAATTTCAGGTATTGCACCCCACTACTAGCTAAGGATGGTATTTGGGGAACTTCTTTCCTGTAGAAGCCGTGTAGTACAGTTCCTGAACGTTAAAGGGACACTGACAGATGCGGGATTGCACCTGTCAAAGCGTGACTTTTCTGGCTCTGGAGATTCCGGCCATAAATTCAGTAACAATACAGCCAAGTGCTCATCTGAGCCCTGACAGTTTGCTGAGTGGCTTTGGACAAGTTCCTATCTGTGCTTTATACCACAGCGTAATGGAAGCTGTAGATGCAATGAAATCGCCGTGTATTATCTTCAGCCAACAAGTTAAAGCTAATGACATCTGAGTTCATCAAAGACATTCCCCTTACCTTTGGCCCGGTCATCAGAAAATTGTTCACTGACCTAGAAGAAGGAGAAAGCAGAGCACAGTGGAGAGATACCAGTTTGTTTCTGCCTCCAAGAGTCACAGAGATCATTTCCACAATACCATTGAGAGAAGGAAAGGGAAATTAGCTTCCATAAGCAACGTTACACCTTGTCACAAGGCTAATAAAGATAACCCACTCAGGACCAGCAAGATGGCTCCGTGGGTAACTGTGCCCGCTGCCACGCCTGACAGCTGGAGTTCGATCCTGGAACCCACATGGTAAAAGAGAACCAGCTCCTACAAGCATTTTCTGATCGCCACTCATGTACTATAGCATGTGTGCTGGCTCCAACACACGTGTGTACCCAAAATAAATAAATTTTAAAATAATTAAAAATTTAAAAGAGAACCCATTTATTTAAAAAATATAAGTTGAAAGTAGTACATTTCTCTAGATTACAAAATATTTATTTTTATTTTAAGTATACGAGTGCTTGCCTGTATGTATATATGCACACCACACCATGTGCCTGAGGAGCCACAAAGAGGGTGTCAGATCCCCTAGAACGGGAGTTACAGATGGTTGGGATCCACCATGTGGATGCAGGGGACTGTATCCAGGTCCTCTGCAAGAGCAGTCAGTGCTCTTAACCACTAAGTCCTCTCTCCAGTCCCATTTCTTCGGATTTTTAAAGTCAGTTATAATTTCCAACACCATAAAAAATTTAAAGTTACAGCTTCTAATACCATAAAAGATGGAAATAATGCTTGATTATTGTTTTGCCACAGGCTGGGGACAGAGCTAGCATTAATTCACAACTGGGTACCAGACGCTACCCAGTATTTCACATGTAGCCCCTTTAAATCATTTCTATCTCTATTTTGTCCATGGGGATCCAAGGAAAAACAGCTAACTTCATGTTCAGGCTCACCCAGCTAATGAGTGAGGAAGTTGGATCTGATCCAAGTTTATCTGACTTCACTGAACTGTACAGAGACACCTGTCTAATTAGGAAGAGTAAACAGTGAAATGTCTGTCTCAGGTTTTAATAATTGAATCCTAAAATAAAGCCGAATTTGAAAAGTAGCTCAGTCTCTACTTAAAAATGAAATGGCTTCGCTCTTAGGTCTTTACCTCAGAGAAATGAAAACTTTTTAACCTAGGAATTCCTATGTGGGTGAACTTATGAGTGTGAAAGGTAAAAATGTAGCATTTGCTGGGTTTATGGTGCACACTTGTAATCCCAGCACTTGGGGGGTGGCAGCAGGAGAATCAGGAGTTCAAGGCCAGCCCCATCTATAGAGCTAGTTCCAAACCAGTCTGGACTACTTGAGACTCTGTCTCAAACTAACAAAACAAGCAAAAACCCTCTAGCCTCGCTTATACAAGGCCACTGAGTTCAAGCCTCTGTACTGCAACAATAAAAATCCTTACAACAACAACAAAAACCACCAAATATTTAAAAAAACCCCAAACTGTCACATCCACACCATGGAATGCCACTCAGCAATAAAAAGAATGAGCCATTAATAAACACAATTACTGGGACGAACCTCAAGGAAATTAGATTAAAGTCAATCCCAGACTGGGGGGATTGTGGGGAGAGACAGGATCCCAGAGCAAGCTGACTAGCTAACTGACTAGCTAACTGACTAGCTAACTGACTAGCTAACTAGCTGAATCAGTGAGCTCTGGGTTCAGTGAGGGACCCCGCCTCCCTCACTATATGAAATGGAGAGCAGTTGAGGAGACAGCCAGTGTCAACCTCTGGCCTTTATATGCACACGCACATGCAGGGCTACACAGATGAACACACATACACATACTACACACACACACACACACACACACACACACACACACACAAGTCATTTTCAAAAGTTATGTATTTCAGCCGGGCGGTGGTGGCGCACGCCTTTAATCCCAGCACTCGGGAGGCAGAGCCAGGCGGATCTCTGTGAGTTCGAGGCCAGCCTGGACTGCCAAGTGAGTTCCAGGAAAGGCGCAAAGCTACACAGAGAAACCCTGTTTCGAAAAACCAAAAAAAAAAAAAAAAAGTTATGTATTTCTGGGTCTGGTCCTGTAATTGTTACCACTTGGGAGGCTGAGACAGGAGGATCACAGGTTAAAGGTGTGCGTGAGCTACAGAGCAAGTTCAAACCCAGAGTGGTCAATTTATTAGACTTTTTTTCTCAGAAAGAGAAGATTGCAGATATAATTTAGTTAAACACTCACAAAACATGGGCAATCCTTAGTACCACAAAAGGGGGAGATCTACATAACATGCTGAAATAGAGCTGAGAACAGAGTAGTGAGGCTAATAACAGGTTGGCGATTTGCCAGGAGTTTGGAGTAGGAAGATGGATGCTGCTATTAAGAGTCATGAGCCTTAGTAACGGAAAGTGTCTTAACTATGGTCATGGTTACACAAGGGTGCAAGCATGGCAAATTTGCATCAGAATCTCTCTCTCTCTCTCTCTCACACACACACACACACACACAAATATACGAGTCTAAGGGTGCAGTAAAATAGTGTCTGAATAAGCTCTAAGGTTACTATATAATAATTTTAAGATGGAAACATCATGGAAGGTTATGGAAAAGGTACAGAAGCTTCCTGAATATTTCTTTGTAACTTTTGCAAATCTCTAGTTATATAAAATGCAAAGTTAAACACAGATATGATCTGCAGTCTTGGAGATTTGGAGAATGACTTCAAAATAGACATTTTATATCAATGAACATGTATTATCTATAAGCTTCCCATCATGGGCAAGTAACATGGGAATCCTTAGGGACTGTACCCGAAGCTTGGCGTCCCCTGGCAGTTCTGAGGGCTGAAAAGGTGGTAAACATCAGAAAGGGAATTAGAAACAAAATAGATAAAATCATTCTCTTATTGGTGGCCAAGGGGCTTGCTGGACTCTCCACATGAAACACAACAGCCAAAATGTGGGTAGTTTTTGAGAAACAATATTAGCAGTTTGGAAGGCAGAGAGAAAAGTTATCGTTTTACAGGACAATCATTACTGGGAAAGAAGACAGCATGAAACAAAACATGGCTGACAAAGGACAGAGCTTTGCCAAGGCTGAGCCCGGGGCAAGAGTCTCGCCATGAAAGAATCTAAGTCAGGAAAACAGGCCAGTAAGGGGCGGAGGACTTGGAGGGCTTGCCCCTCCTAGAGAGCCTAGTTAAGGAAAGACATGTGTAACACGCTTGTCAGCTGAGCCCATGAAAGGGACAGGTTTCACTGAACACCTGTCTTGGCACAAAACTTGGCCCTTATTTAGACAACATGTGTATGTTGTTATTTGTAATAGATTGGGTCCTTGTGACTGCTTTACTTCTACGCAAAATCTCCAACGTTGAGAAAAGACTCTGTGTCCTCGTGGTGAGCACCAAAGCAGGAGAGTGTTAGTTTTGGTTAATGAGACAGTGGTGTGATGTCCTTTGAGCCAGTCAAAATAAAGACTGCAGACGGCGTAGTGGATGAGTGCTGTGGGGAGAGGGAGAAGATGAAGAGGGAAGGCATTTAAGTGTGTTATGGGCTGGGTGCCAGCTAGAGACAGTCACGTGACTGAAGGGAAGACACTGCCAACAAACATGGGAGATGGAATGTCTGTTTAATAGATGGCAGCTCTCTATGGGTGGGTCATGATGTATACTCTCAGATGGAGGAGCATCTTCCGATTCCCCAAGAGGATGTACCGTTGTTGCTGCCACTGCCCAGACTGGGTACCGTTCAAAAGGGTTTTTTTTTTTTGTTTTTTTTTAAAGATTTATTTATTTATTACATATACAGTGTTCTGCCTGCATGTGTCCCTGCAGGCCAGAAGAGGGCACCAGATCTCATTACAGATGGTTGTGAGCCACCATGTGGTTGCTGGGAATTGAACTCAGGACCTCTGGAAGAACAGCCAGAGCTCTTAACCGCTGAGCCATCTCTCCAGCCCTCAAAAGGGTTTTTAATCTTCCTGGACCTTCCCAACTATTCTCAGGCCTTTTTGTTCAGTCTCCAGACTTGTACATTCAACGATCTGCTTGATTTGGTAGGCATCCAGCTTAACTTGCCTCAAAATGAACACTTGCTCTCTCGACACCTCAACCTACTCCAACTCAGAACGGGAAAGTCCCTCCTTGCTTAGATAAAAGTCCCAGCAAGTCACCTTTGACTCTTTTTTCTTATTTTGTATTCAATATGTCCTTAAATCTTGCTGACTACAGCTCATAATGTAAACAGTTTTCAACGTCTCCCCTAATTTCACTCTGGGTCAAGTCATCACCATCTTTTGTCTGGATTACTGGGAAAGCCTGTTAATTAGTTGGCTATGGTGTTGTACACCAGCAATCCCAGCACTGGTGAGGGTGTGTCTGGAGGATTTTGAGTTCAAGTTTATATGAAAAGTTCCTTAAACTCAGCAACAACAAAACAACTCCGTTTACAAGCAGACATGTGACTTGAATAGACATTTTCCCAAATGAGCCATTGAGCCCGTGGAAAGATGCTCAGCATCACTAGTCACCTGAGAACAAAATCACAAGAATCCACACCCACTGAGGGAGCTAGACTGAAATAAGAAGACTGGGTGTGATAGTGCATGCCTTTAGACCCACTCAGGAGCACTCGGCGGCGATGGGGGTGGGGGCAGAGTTAGATAGAAGCCTCCTCTCCAAAGTGAGTTCCAGACAGCCAGGACTACAAAGAGAGACTCTGTCTCAAAGGAAGAAACTGATGAAAACTCAAAGCATCCAGAATCCTCAGTGTAGCCCTGACTATCCTGGAACTCACTCTATAGACCAAGCTGCCCTCGAACTCAGAGATCCGCCTGCCTCTACCTCCCAAGTGCTAGGATTAAAGGTGTGCACCACCACTGCCCAGTGAGTGCATGCACTTTAGAAAATTGTTTAGCAGTCCCTCCATAGTTTAAAGATAACACAGCAGTTCTACTCTTAGGCAGACATATACGACACAGAACATAGACACTGTGCTCACAACAATATTAATTAGAATAGCCAAAAACTAAAACTGCCCA